GGTCCCTCCTGGTTGCCTTTTACCACTAGGAAGATAGAATCATCCATAGTCAGTGATACTGATCTCATCACTCCTGTTCACACATTTGCTTGATCCAACCGATGGAACCACCTTCAAACACTAACTAAAGTGTCTACCTGTAGTAGAAAATGAGAATGGTGCATCCATTCATTGGAGTGTGACACAACACCCGTGGAAGTCGACTGACCCCGAGCGAAGTCAAGCACAGAAAATACAACAAAAATTGTTTTCTTTCGTCGGGCCACATATTGATTTGCAGTTGGTAATGGTGATAGCAGGTGGTACTTGTCCCGTGGGGGAGAGGAGACAATGGGAGGGGTGTGCAGTAGTTTGCTGAAAGCGTGACAGCTTAAGAGAGGGGAGGCAACGGCGTCAGTGCATACTCGCATACACACCCACACAAGACAACAGTGCGGTTGCATGAAATACACACTAGCAAACATATGTGGAAGTAGTGATTTCATTTACAGGTTCAGAAAATGGAGTAAGAGGTGGTGAAGAAAAGATTGAAAGAGACATACCAATCCTTAAATGTAGGAGAAAAACACTACGAGGTACAAACGGTGTACGGTGAGGACTTATGGGGCCGAGAAATACGACCGTAGTAAAAATTAAGGAACTTGTGTATGTGAAGAGTAGGAGAGGAGAGATAGAGAGTGATTCTATGCTCAAATAATTTACGGTGCTTCAGTGTGTCTGTGTGCGCGCGAGTGGGCAGAGGAAGCAATGTCCAATCATTTTTTCTCTACTGTTTTGTTTCCCAATGGCGAGATGGAGCGAGCAAGAGCGTTGAGGAGGGCCATCAGGAGATGCTGCCAGTGGGGTTCTCGGAAGCCTGCTTGGCTCCTTCCGTCGACTTCGATGAATCAGTCGCAGCAGTACCTGGGTCTACCTCGTTGGAGGACTCTTGATGACCACCATTGTTGCTGCTACCGGAGACCTCATTGCCTCGGACTTTAACCTCGGCTGGAGAGGTAAAAAAAGTAGGAGAGCTCATGCGCCCTTCAACATCGTAAATTAACGATGCGTTGAGGCATTGCAGACAACAATGATTGTCTCCTATACTAGCGCTCTAAATGGTAATAGCTGTTTGGGCCGTTACTGGTATAAAAAGCTTCATAGCTCCAATTTGCGTAGGCCTCCACATATCCGCACTATAAAGCGATGATAAGGAGGCAAATTTGGCCATAAAGATCAAAAGAAAAATTTACACCTGTTTCACTCTTTGGGCGGGACTAAAAGTTTTCAGTCGAAGCATGGTGAAGAAGACACGAACACTGCGGAACAATTAAACAATATTGCCATCAAAAAGCCCCAACTTCAATGATTTGCAGTAGCACAACAATTGGAGGACAATAAACTTAACTGTTTCAGAGAACCCTTGATAATAACGCGGCGCTTAGTGATAGTCCAGTGGCAATTCAAACCGAGTAATAAGATTTAAGTGAGATTCTACAAATATTAAGCCACTTTGAAATTCACTTCCCTATAAAACGTGGTGACTGAACCGCATCCACCATAGACAAGAAACGTGAATTGTCAAAATGCGAACTTATGAACCAGTGCTACACACGGCTCCCGAAGGAAAAGTAGCCTGCTGTAACGAAACTGCGCGAAATCAATTGCCCCCTAACAGAGATCCTAAGCCAACAAAATGGGAGTTTAGAATCATGCATTAGTGGTGATTTACCAATCTGAAGTATTTTGTTCTGGTAACTAGCTGCAACGACCACCTAAAGAATTACAGCAAGCTCCCGATTTAAAACAGCTAGTGGGTGACGCATTTATTGGGGCAAAAAGGGAATGGAAAAGGCCTGGGAAAACTTTTGTCAATTGCTACTATAAATACGGTTATGTAGCCTATTTTTATGATTCTCACTCCATGTAGTAGCGCACAATAATGCGTCTCAAAAGGCAACTAATAGCGATGTGTTAAACAGATAGGGACAGTTTGGTTAAAAATGACAGTATCCGTAAAACTGTCGCCGCATTTTATGCCTGCATCGACACCTGCATAGATGTTTTTTAACAAGTACTACAAAACCTTTGATGCTGCCACTTACTAGAATGCTTGTGAGTAGAATCCTTGGATTGGACAGAAGAGGCGACAGTGGAGGTGGAGGGTTTATCACCAGCGGCCGACTGCAAGTGATCGGGCGGGTCGGAATCGAAGAGATGTGGTGGCAGGGGGTTGCCGTTGGGCAGTTTACCTCCAGACGCTCTCAGATCCCGAATCTCGTCGAATGCGCGGTCAAGGAGGCCTTGTCTCGGCGGCAGCCTATTGTTGGGGTTATATACGAGCATCCTGGACATGAGCGCAAGCAGATCAGCCGGTGTGTGGCGCGGAAAGAAGAGCTTCACCGGGCAGGATTGTACATCGGGGAAGTTGTAAGACTCGTACATGGGGTTCATGCTCGCAATGTCTTCTGCCGTTGGCGTCCCCAGTACACGAATCACTTTCACTAACTGGTCCACTGAATCGGCGCCTGTGAAGAGACACTGATGACGCAACATTTCGGCCAATACACATCCTGCGCCCCACGTATCGATAGCGCAAGTGTACATCTGCGCTCCGAACAGCAACTCCGGTGCTCGATAGTACCTACAGGCAGAAAAAACGTTTCGGAGCCGTGAGGCTCAACAACGAATTATGGAATTACTCTTTCCCCGTGTTTAGCAAGTTTTCTCCCGTTAATTAAAGTACGGACCTTGTTGCAGTCAAGATAGACCACTATGTAATGCTAGCACCCAGTAAGGAAAGAGACACTGTTAGATCAATCAAGCTGGCTTAGCAAAAAAAAACAGTAATGAAAATTTCGAAAGTAGTGAATAATAGTCGAAATCTCGTCCAGGGATCGAACCCGAGAGATAATGAAGCAAATCCTGCGGTAAAAAAAATTAAAGGGAAAGTCATCTAACGTATTGCCGAGGTCACAGCATAACTGCATAGTCTACTCGAAGGGCCAATTCGAGAACGCAAAAACGGGTTCACACGGTTTGTTAGTGCGTCTAGAGTGCAGGTGCTTACACGAGGTCAGATCGCATGCAACTCGGCTAGAGAACGACAGATTAAATAGGAAAAAAAGGAATGCACAATTCAATTAGGTCACCATTACAATCACTAGATTTCAATCGAGATATGATTAAGACCAACCATTTCTTATCTAATCGATATCACTGACGAAAAAGTAGTCACTAAAGCTACCCAAGAGAAATGCACCAACGAAGAGCATTCTACCAAAGCAATTACATCTAAAAGAGCCTACCGAGAAGAAATATAGGAGACGTTAGTTGTTCCAGGGACCATTTCCTTGGCACTGCCGAAGTCACATAGCTTCAGAACCATGGTCTGCTCATTAACAAGAAGATTTGAGGACTTAAGATCCCTATGACAAATTTGGTGACTGTGCAGATAGGCTAGAGCTTTGAGCATTTGATAGGTGAACAATTTGACAGTAAGTGGAGGAATGCTCATATTGCGTTGAAAGTACATGTAGACCAATTCACACAGACTGCCCGGAAAGCACTCGAGCACTAAATGCAAATACACATCCATATCCGCGCTTGGTGGCATATCCGTGCATACGCCTTCGCACGGCTGTTGCGAATTCCTCGACCGCGTGCGCGATGCGGAGGACGAAGTGGAAAAGTAGTAGTAGTAAAATTTAACCACGTTTGGATGCCTGTTGAGCTTTTGCATGATACTCAACTCCCGATTTTTGTAGCGTGGATCCTGTAGCACCCGCTTCACAGCAACTGATAATACAGTGCTGTCAGAGGAATTAGCAGTAGCAGATGAGGAGGACTTATCGTCGGCAGTCTTCGAGGGAGGCGGAGTGGTAAGAGTGGCCTTTTCAATCTGCCCGAAGGTACCCTGACCAATTGTGCCGGAGAAACTGAGGTGGATCGACACCGGGGTATTGTCTAAAGCATTTCTAGCCTGTACCACCAACTGCCGAGGCAAAGCTAGGCGTCCAGAAATCAAACTGGCGAAGGGACCGCCCACACGACTTGATTTATTATGAGCGGGTTTGGACGTATTATTGGCGTTGGTGTGATTACTGCCTTGCGTAGCTCCGCTATGCCGCGAAGCGAGACTCATATCGGAACTTCGTATGGGATGAAATCACACAAATGACAGAGACCTGCTGAGTTGATGACGGTTCAGATGATCTGCAAATCAAGACACGTAAGCGAACTACACTTTGACAAAGTACTTAAGAACTCCCCTCTGATCTCAAACAGCCTAAAATGTGCGCAGATACACCAGTTACTTATGAAAACTACGCATGAATACTAACAAAGTTCTGTACTTTCCGGATTTTGAAAGAAATAATATGGTCTAAGTTCATTTAGTAAGAAGGGTTCCAGGCCAATTATACGAGGAGCCTCCAAGTGATTTAAACACCTCACCAAGGCAGTTATTCCGACACATCAACCAAACCAAATCGCCTTCGAGCTCCTCTACCTGCTGATAAGGAGACACCACAATTAATAGTAAGACTAGACGCCAAGTCCAAAAAGCCCCGCAGCCCAATGACGGGCAATTCAAACAAATTCACAGGCAAAATTATGGCCCCAAACGCATTATTCGAATTGCACAATACCTTATCATATAATACATATTTCGGCTTTTTAATATATTAGAAAACAACATTAAATCGTGCATATTCAGCTTGCAGAAAATGAAATGTAGGTTGAATGACCCATTGATAAAAGAGCTTTCGAAAAAAAAAAGATAAAACTGTAATAAAAAAATTACTTTTAAGAAAAAGAGGGCGGTTTACTTTTTAGATGGTTTCCAAGCATCATTACCTCGTGGCTATGTTAGGCGCAGTAGATTCATTTTTGCATTATGCTGAGCAATTTACATTCACATTGCGAGTTAAACGTGTAATTTTCTGATAGTGTTTAGACTTTTGCATTTAAATTGCGGACTCAAATAAGTCTCTGTCTTTGTAAGTTTGCTCAGAGGCTTATCCCCCTGACCATACATGTAGCCTCTCAGCACTTTCCGCGTTATCAATAAGTTTTCTGCCATAGCACTATGCTTTCTTACACTTTTAAGAAAATCCCGGAATGCTGTAAATGTAAAATGACATAAAATAGGTCATAACCACTTTGGTTTCCTGGACCTTCTCAATCGTGACTGACACTTTCGCTGCTTTTTGAGATCCTAGAATCTTCGATTAAATAATTATGGCCTAAAATGATCTTAAAAAAAACTTTTGCTTAGGTGCAGGGGAGTTTGAAAACTATAAGCAAGTGTAACCCTTACGTTGTTTTAATGTACCGTTCAGGGAGGAGGCAATCGGGAAATTCGAGCCTCGTGGCTGGATGGTCCTCTCCCGTACCTACTGACTGCAGCTCCTCTCCTTCTTGAACATTGTATTTTCCCTCTCCATCTTGTCACCTTTAATAAATATGTCCAAAGCGAATCAACCTGGCTTGACTAAGAACGCTAGGAACAGGGAAGAGGAGACTGATGAGTCGCGCGTTTCACAAGACCCACGCTTAGATCCTAGAGTAAAAGTACAACCTGCGAGATGTAAACTACCAAATTGCTGCATTTAGTTCACGCTCTTTGCAATGAGATCAGCATTGAAAATTTCCTTATACTAAAAATTAAAGGGATTTAAAGGCGAATAAAGGATTTCGTGTAATACGATAGTGGTTTATCTCTCGGTTCTCGTGAGGCGCCACTTCTGTACTTCGAACTAGCCCCCTTGTACCTCGCTGGGTGGGCTGGCCTTTTGGGCCATGCCAATAGCCTAGACACCTTCTCTGTGCTAAATATATATATTCTGCACGAGTATTGTGTCTTCTTTCGTCTTCGGGGAGTCTTGGGCCGCTACATTCGCCACTTTGCAAGAATAGGTTTGAAAATGAATCGTTGCCTTACTTAACATCATGCTCAAGTCTGTAGGCCTCTTAGTACCTATGGGATTTAGTTCTGCTAGATAGCCTGCTTCACCAACATCTACGCTTTTTTTATATATTAATGATATATCGTCCCGAGCCCTCCCTGAAGACGAAGGAAGGCACAATACTCGGGCAGCATATATATATTCAGCACAGAGGTGTTTGGGCTGCTGGCATAGCCCGGAGGCCAGCCCACCCGGTGAGGTACAAGAAGGCAGATTCAAAAGTTCAAAAGTGGCGTTTCATCAATACCGAAAGATAAACCACCATCGTATTAAAAGTGATACATTTTTCTTTGTGCTGTTGTGATTTATAACAAATTTAATAAGGCCTTAAGAAACCACATCGGTAGCTAAAGTCGAACCCGATCTAGAGGTCAGCTGCAAAACGATAGTGTAGTGTAATACGATAGTGGTTTATCTCTCGGTTCTCGTGAGTCGCCACTTTCGTATTTTTAATTAGCCCCTTTGTACGTCGCTGGGTCGGCTGGCCTTTTGGGCCATGCCAATAGCCCAGACACCTTCTCTGTGCTGAATATATATATTCTGCCCGAGTATTTTGTCTTCTTTTGTCTTCAAGGAGTCTCAAAACGCTACATTTAGGTACCTCTAGACCTTACTACCAAACCTTCCTTTATGGTGAGGTAAAGTAATTTAGCTCTAGAGATGCCCAAATGTGTAATACCTTTGCAGATTATAAAGTCGCTTACATGTTATAAGATTTGTGTCGAATTTGGTAGATTCGCAAACTTTTTCTTATTATACTTCTTCAAACGGTAGTTTTGCCTTTTAAGTAGAATGTTTTTCAAGCGTTAAAATCCAAGTAGTGTCCAAAAGCGTGATAATTTGCATGTGATAGATGGTTTGTATGATGATTAGGGTCTGCCAATTTGTTGATACTTCACAAATTACTGCTTTTTGCACACTTCACCTTGGGTCTTTTAGGCTATTTACAAAAATGTGCCTGGGTACATGTTTGCGAAAATTGCTCAGTTATATTAAAATAAACAGGTACCTTTAACTTCCTTTTAGTGTTTTTTTTTTTCATTAGCCTATAGATCGCTCTTTCGAAATCTCTGGGGCACGTAGTACCCATTTTTCGTCCTCAAGGTCAGCTGTTTAAAATGCATGGGAGGTATTCTAACTCGCGAAGGAGATTGTTTTCTGAATCTGCAGTTGAAAAGGAGTATTTTAGGAGAAATGTTGAGCAACAACCTGTACAAGATATCTCGATAAACGTATTTTATCAACCACGTTCTATCACTGTCCTCTTCCTTATCGTAGTCGGTTTGACATATTTTGCCTTCACCCGGTTTGTTTGGTATCAGTGTTTTACTTCATTTTCTTCAGACCGGCGAATCTTCCACTTAGTGACTGTCTTTTTAATGGAGCAATTGTATCTATTACCGTTTTCCTCATAATCTCGACAATGATTATGCCAAATGGTGAGTTTGTTTTCCTTGACTGCTCTTAGAATTCGCTTTTGAGCTTTTCGGCTTGTTTCGTCTGCAGGTCCATTTGTTCGACCCCATCCGCTGGTTTGGAGGGTTGTCTTTGGTGCTAGTCTTCTGTACCTTCATAGTCTCGTATTTGTCCTCTTCTTGCGTCTGGAAGATGCCCGAAAAATTCTCTTTTATTTGGACCCTAGCTTGGAACGAATGCGCTACTCTGACATCCTGGACAAGGAATACGCTGTTAACTGTAGCCAGGTGTTTTGCATACCTAGCGTAATTTCTAATTCCTAGTATAGGTAACTTTAGAGCGCATCTGGAGTCACGTTGATGTTTTTGCTTTCGGCCACTTTTTTGGTTGGGTAGTAAAAGCTATTTTGTTGCGGCATTACTTCATGCTATGGACACTCTCCATTAACTGGGAGGTTACCGAAGTGGCTTTCTCGCACATTCTGCCCAACTTCCGGGAATGCTGGTGGGATAGCATCGTCCTCGACGTGTTGCTCTGCAACGGTCTCGGTATATTTTTTGGCATGCTTCTCTGTCAGTGGTTCCATGCACGCTCGTATCAGTGGGAATCCATCCGTGATATTCCCTCTAAACGCGGCAAACTCAAACGAGCCGTCCTCCAGTTCACTCCCGTTAGGTACGGTTTCTGATATACTTTCACAATTTACATTGACAATTGCCGTTTGATTCCATGGATTCGTGTAAGCTTGAATGCTGTTTAAATTTCGTAAAAAAGTGGAAGCTAATTTTATAGAATCTAATGTTTTATCTATACGTCGCTTTAGTTAGAGGATTAGTGTCTCAAAACTTTACTGATTACGTAATAGGACAGGAAAAATTCTTTTTAGCGCACTGAAGGGGTAGGAAGCTATGAGCGTAGGGAGGGGAGAACGCCATATCACTGAGGCGGTAACTGAAACTGCAATTAGTGCTTTGTTTGGTATAGTATTAGGAAATTTCATTTTGTGACATGTTTTCTGAGCATCGTTTTCCATGCATCCCGTAGCCATTCCTCCTTTTCGATCATAATGGGTCTTTGTGAATTACACCTGACTGAGTGATGTTGTGAGCTTACATCATAAGACCGTTTCGGTTGGGATTATTTTATGTCTCGCCCTCTGCATAGTAAATTTTAACGGGAGAGGGTCGATTCTTGAGAAGGCAGTAGTTCTAAAAGTTTGGACAGTATTGTAGAGATAGAACACCGCTCACCGTAGCAACGTTTCTCTAGAAACCGTATGTTCATCGTAGCACCCGTGGCCATAGAATAGGCATTCCACTCCTCCTCGTCGTCAAATAGTTTTTGCTCAAATTTTGGATCTGATATATGTAACGCTGGTGTGATTTTTATCGAACCTAATGCCTCTAGTGGTGCTGTAAGCGTGTTAAGATGGGATGGTATTTACAGCCTTGAATATAGTAGTTTCTTTCACTAAAAGTGAAGCAGCACTTTGAAATGGGTTAGCCTTTCCCGAAATGTGTCTTACCGCATACGTCTATTTCATCACCAACTTTCCTTCTTTCAGCTGGACTCCAACACACTGGTTGGACAGAAATTCTTCCTTTAAGCGAGTCATTCAACTTTCTGTGCTCATATTCTTCTGGCAGATGGCGGAGTTAAATATCTTCTGGCTGAAGCACGTTTTTATTGTCAGGCCGTCACACTTTCTCACCCAATTGCGAATCATCATTACTACCCTCTCCTCTGCCCCCGCCATCAGGTGCCACCATCGTATCTTAAGAAAACCCCACTTGACTGATGATAGTGTTCATTCCTTAGTTCTTGTTCATGGTTTATTGAAACCTCCTATTTTGTGTGCAACCCCGAAGATTTATGCTCTGCTGCTTTTTTCTACCATTTCATCGGCTTTTTGCATATCCACTTTTTCGGAAGCACTTTTCGATAAACAAGACCCATGGGACCGATTTTACGCATTTCTCATCTGTCTTTCCTTCTTAGCGTGATTATAACATTTATGTTTCGATTTAGTTCAGTGTCCATTCGTTTTATCTTGTCTCTGGTATTGTCTTTCCCCTGTGGTTAATGCCTACAATTCATCTCATTTTCTGCACGTCCGTCATTGCTTTTTTATTAAACGATCGCGTTTTGAATAACTTTTGAGTTACCTGCGCTGACTTGATGTAGTGGTTTAATTGACTTGGGCTCATCTGTCTTACAAGGCGTTTCAAGATTACACTAAAAATACTAGTTACCTGTTTGATCAGTTTATTGGCTGAAACTCCTCCGACTCCATTCCTATTTTAGATTGATTCAATGTCAACTATTTTCTTCCTTTCCTTTTGTTCATGCTATTACTGGTTACTCAATTATGGTTTTTTGGAGGTGTCTTAAAGTTTTGTGCATAAAAAGGGATGGTTTGTATTTCTCTACGGCCTAGCAGTTGAGATTCTTGGCTGGTACTTCCTTTTGCATAGACAACGATCCATTCTTTATTAATGTCAATACTTTTCGAACAAGTCACAGATGGCATGAATTTGCAAAAGGGAACCAACACTATTTATGTTTATATTTCCCAAGTAATTTGTGCCAAGGTTTAGTTTGCTCAAAGAATGATACCGTCTCTTCAAAAGTTCTTAGAAGTATGCAAGTGTTTCACTACCCACGATCTTTCTTTTCCACCTAATGTGCTTATCATGCTCTCTTACGCTTCTAGGCAATTCTATCATTACGTCACTGATGACCAGGTGACACGTGTCGGCTCCCAAATGTGGATTTTCACGTAAGTCCTAATGTCCTCTCTACTCTTCACTCGTGAAGTACTCTTTAACAGAAAAATCGGGCTGCTTTTTGTAGTGCCACAATGATCATCGAAACACTGGTTGCCTACAAATTGGGCAGCGAGGTGTTTGAAAAAGCTATCCTCCGCTACATCATTTACTGGCTTGTTTGGTTGGTTAGTTTCTTTTTTGCCCGGTTAATTTTGCTAATTGCATGCGCAAGCACACACTGATCCCTAGGAGCTTCTTCCTATGCTTTAGGTTGTCAGTAGTTTCCTGACTGTATGGGTTTGTCTACTCTTTGCCAAACGTTCAAAGTCGGAATCTGAAGATGAAGAGGCTTTTGACTCTGGAAATGTCATCTTGGACTCAGGAGTGATGCCAGAAAGAACCACGGAAGATGAACATGTGGGTTTTTTAACATTCACCTTTTCTCCATCATTTTTTTGGTCTTAATAGGCATGCAAGGCTTAAGCTGGCTCTGAGGCTTCATCACGTAAAGTTTTCATGTAAATTTAGCTTTGTTTGTTTGTTTAGGAAGTTCACCAAAGGAATGTACGATCACCTTTGGTTAGTCGCCCTGCCACAAGATCTCAGGATACCAAAAAAGCGAACTGAGTCATCCTGCTCACTTCTTCCCCTCCGCCAGCTTCATCTATGTTGCTGAAGTTCCAACTATTTCCGTGTTTTTTTTCTATATATTCGCCTAAACCGCACTCTATTTGGTGCTTTAAATCCATGTATGAGCAAATATTTATTATTATCTGAACGGAGAAGTTCTTTTACACAGTAACTGAAGCAGTTCAAGTCGGAAATGCTGGCATTTGAACATCGAGGTTGATGGAATCATGTGAATTTTGGATTGATGATGCCAAATCACTGGGTGGTTCCATCGTCTTCAGCACCCTCAAATAACTACCCACGAGCTGGGAATTCATTGGACATTGCTGGATTAGGGTTACAACTATCAACACGCAGGATTAGTCATTTCAACCAATGTCAGTTACGGTGGTGACTGTGAATCCCGCCAATTGGCATTCCGTGTTTACAAAGTGTAATTAGGTAAAATTTAGGCTATGTCGTTCATTTTGCTCCGGTTCTATGTAAGTCACGTCTGTTCAGTATTATTAAAGCCTGATTTTCTGGATTTTTGAGTGAATAGTGTGTTTGCATAAATAGTGCACGATTGAGGATTTGGTGTGCAGTTCTACTTAGTAATGGGGTAGTCGTTAATTCATCTTGTGGTTTATTTTATCACCTACATTTAAACTGGGAGTACACCTCGGACCGAATCATTATTTATCTGAGATACCATTTGACCAGATTTGCTCAAATCTCGTTTCCTGGCAGGCCAAAGTCGAATTGTATAATGATACAAATTGCGATAGTTCAGGATCTGATCAGCTACGGTTCATTTTTAAACTGTATATTATAGGCTCTAAAGATTTCGGGATTTTATCGTGAGATCCAAACGCACAAGTAACTCAGATGTGTCCCATCGTCTTCCATCACAGTGGAGTTTTATCAATAAGATGTGATAGCAAAGGTGACATTAAACGCTTCTGAGGTAGGCGTTCAAAAGTCTGTGGCACAATGTGGGGAACTGTATTCTTGCATACTACCTGCCAAAGTGAAGCAGTAAATCGAAATCTTAACTTGTCATGCCAGGAAAAAAGGAGTTTCAGTTTTTCTCTGATGAAGCAAATCGCGATCAGCTACCGTAGCAATGTTGCCGGTTCTATGCACCCACTCGTGAAACCGTCAAAGTAAGTGGGAATATGTCGGAGGTATCAGCCACGTCGCATACGCACAGAATTTGCAAGGCTCCAACTCGCAGCGCGGGTGTGCCTGCGAGTGCTTGCTTGCCTGATCAATGGCTTTGCTCCTCACTCCCTTTCGCCTCACACACACGATTCTCACACTTAGACGACAGTCCCACATCCCTAAAACTGGTGACTCCACCACGACCTTGTTAGCTGCTTTCCACTATTTAGTGGACCAGTCCATGCAGGCGCCATGTCGAGTCCACACCACCAAGGAGGATCGACAAGGCGTGACACCGTCCGTGCACCTTCATGAAGTCACATGCGCTGAACACGTGAGAGACGGGACACCGAAATGTAATGAGTGTTTGAGAGACGTGGTGGGAAAGCAGGCAACAGACAGACATGTTTAGGGGTCGTTCGCTCAGGTGACACAAAAGCAAATGAGATGGGATGGTGGAGTTGAATGACTCCTTCCTGTCAGGGCTCTTCTGGCAACATGCTTGCAACCACTGAGTTTTGACGGTAACGTCGAAGCCAGGCAAAGCCGAGCGATGTAATGGATGGATGGGATAGTTTAGCATCGCTCTCCATTGCAGTAAGCAATCTGCCAGAATGTGTCGAGGATGCGTGTTGTCGTCGTTGTTGTTGTTGAAGTTGGCGATAGGCGTGTTGTTGATGCTGTTGTCCGATTACGGAGGTCGAGGCGCAGGCCTCGACAACGGCTTAGCCTTGACCCCACCAATGGGTTGGCTGACGTGGCAGCGATTCCGCTGTCAGACGGATTGTGAGATGTACCCACAGGACTGCGTCAGCGAGGCGTTGGTGGTGCGACAGGCGCAGATGCTGGCGCACGACGGCTGGCTGGCCAGAGGCTACGAGTACATTATCATTGACGATTGCTGGCCCGCACACCAACGCGATCCTACATCCCACCGCCTCCAACCCGACCCCACCCGTTTTCCCCACGTGAGTGCCTGCTTTTCACTTTGCCTACCTCACCTTTCTCCCATCGCCCCCTCCTCTCCACTCCCCTCACGTGTCACGTGTCGCATCGCTCTCCAACCCCCCCGCTCCACCAACCGTGGATGCACACTATCTGTGCATCATCCGCTGTGCAGATGTCCTATCATCCCACCTGTCAGTCTTGCAAAGCGACTCCAGTATCCGTCACCTCAGTATTGGGTGTGGAGACACTGCAAGTTCAAACATGCGATGGTGTGCAAACATTTCTCTGCTCTATTGTGAACATCTACCACATGCCAGATAGGAGTACGTGTGACCAGCCCATTGGATGCGAAGTGAATTAGAATGCACGCGTGTGGAAGGAATTAGGAGTTCGTAAAGAACAGACACGTGAGACAGCTGGTTTGCCAGTGAGGTGGTAGTGGGTGAGTGGGTCGAGCGGGTGAGCGTGGCAAATGGCTGACCAGTGCCTCTCTCTCCATCTCTCTTCTCGTGCAACAGGGAATGAAGTGGCTGTCGGATTTCGTGCACTCATTGGGCCTCAAATTCGGCATCTACTTGGACTTCGGCACCAAGACGTGCGCCGGCTTTCCCGGCAGTTTGGACTTCCTTGAAGTGGATGCCGCCACCATGGCTGATTGGGGTGTCGACTACATCAAAATGGACGGATGCTACAGTGATCCAAAGGTCTCCACTGTTTTACGTATGAATGGAAGGTTTTCCTATGTCATCGAGTAATCCTGTTTCAAAAAGACTGTTTGGCACATTCACGTCAACATGTCAATGCAAACTAAATTGGATTTGTATCTACCTCTTATTCTTATCAGATTCAAGCTGATGGCTATGAGCAATTTGGACGATATTTGAATGCTACGAAACGTTCAATTGTCTTCGAATGTAGTTATCCTCTTTTTCAACCATGGAGAAAGGGTGTTTATTTGAATTGGACCCGTTTGGCGGAGAACTGCATCAAAATGAATGGGTGCTACACTGACTTTACCCTAGTATATTTTACCCATTCACTGCTGATGCTTAAACTAATACATTAAAGTTTGCAGGTCAATAAACATCTCCTTTATTCATTCCTGCAACAGATTCAACCCGACGGATATGCAATGTTTGAGCGCCTCTTGAATGCAACTAAACGACCGATAGTGTTTTCCTGCAGCTATCCTGCCTATCAGCACTGGTTTGATGGTGAAAAACTCAACTGGTCCCAGCTTGCTGAAAACTGTAACCTTTGGAGAATGCTGGATGACGTTCAGGTGAATTAAGCCTTACTTATAGGAAACCAAGCTTCTTAACATCGAAGTCAATGTAATCGCGATTCTGCGCATTTGCTTTTGCGGTTTCGTTTACTTCATGCAGGACTCGTGGGCATCAGTACTCTCGATAATGCGTGATTACGAGGCGCACCGAAAGACGTTGATCCCGGTGGCTGGACCAGGTCATTGGAATGACCTTGACATGCTTACAGGTGGAAATTTTGGGCTCTCGTGGGACGAGACCCGCGTGCAGATGGGTGTATGGGCGATGCACGCCTCTCCTCTCATAATCTCCCTCGACTTAGCCGCCGTCCGCCCCGAAGTCAAGGAGGTAAAGCTACATCCCCTTCCCTTTCCCCTGCCCCATCTTCTGTCATTTTCGCTTATCACACTAAACCTTGGCTCTACAGCTGCACTCAAAATTAGCGTCTTTTTGCATTGAGCTTGACACGGTCCATCGAAAACCTCCTCCATGTCTTTCGTGAATTACATAGATTCTCCAAGCACCGCTCGTCATTCGTGTAAGCCAGGACAAACTCGGCAAGCCAGCTGATCTTCTCATTCCCGTCGTTGGAATAAAGGTGTGTCAGAAGTTATTAATTAGTTCACCTCTCATGAAATCGACGTTAAAAAATCGTCAGTATATAAATCAGTGCCACCACACTTTAAATTGAATCAATAAAGAGTTGTCGGTGGATTAAATTGTGTTCTAGGTATGGAAACGAAAGTTGTCGGATTTCAACGCGGGTTGGGCGTTGGCATTTCTCAACTTAAGCGATGAAGGCGGCTCTCCGAGGGCCCTCGTTATCAGCCTGCAAGAACTGGGAATCCCACCAAACGGTGATTCTGGATGCACATTCAATTTGATCGACGCTTTCACAGGATCGAATCTCCTTACCACAAACTCAGCCGAAGCCTTTGAAGTCCGCATAAATCCTAGTGGAATAGTTATGCTCATTGTACAGCCACTCTGATGAACATCGGGGCTTCTCATCCATCACTATTATTTTCCACAAATTCTGCTCTCACAAAGACCCTATTTCATTCGATCTTATCCAAATCCTATTTAATTCGTAATGTGCAATCTTTAAATCATTTACATATTAAACCTGCATATGCGAATTCACACATCACTTTCCTGATTATTCGTATAATGATGTTAACACCGGGGTTTTGAAGTGGCCAGCTTTTGTGGCAAAAGATGAAACTTAAAAACGACAATAAGGATGGCAAAGGGCGTACCATTTAAGTAACTTGAATCATTGAAAAAGGAAAATGGTATTAAAATTGGCGATGGAGTGTCAAACAGCAGCTGGACTTAAGCCTAAGAAAAGGGCTGGACAATAAGCATGACGATTCCACTGGGGTTGACATGTACTTCGAAGGGTTCCGTGGCGTTTGTAATGATAAAATCGGTTCCAGTGAAGGCATCGGTGAGTTTGAAAAGTCCTTCGTCAGAGATACCGGTATTTTTAAGGTTAAGTATAATGCGTTGAGGGAATCCTGCATCGTCGCTGAGGTCAAGAAAAGCAAGTGCCCAACCACCATTGAAGTCAGTTAATGAGCGCTTCCAAATCTGACAGAGTGGGATAGAACGGTAAGGAATTTATGCAAGTGGCTTTATACCCTTAAAAATGTGTTGGACAGGTGCACCAACCTTAATCCCCGCAATGGGATCCAGCTGGTCCGCTGGCTTGCCCAATTTGTCCTGGTTCACGCGAATCACGAGTTCCGCCTGGAGGACCTTAAGTTAAATGAAGAAAAAGAACAACTCTGAAACCTCAGAATGACAAACGATGTTGATATTAAAGGGGGTTACATTGCTAAGAAGAATGATAGGAAAGGATGGTTTCCCTACCTCTTTGTGGTCGGGAGGCATGGTAGCCAAATCGACGGAGAGTATGAGAGGAGTGGCGTGCATCGCCCACATGCCCATCTGCACGCGCGTCTCGTCCAATGACAGCCCAAAATTCCCACCAAGTAGCATGTCAAGGTCATTCCAATGACCCGGTCCAGCCACCGGGATCAGTGTCTTACGATGCGCTTCATATTGTGACATGATCGACCGCAGTGACTGCCAGCTATCCTAGATACGATGCTCAAATTAGTATTTATTTCCCCTCACTTGAATGTCCTCCAGAAGGCGCCACAGA